GCTGCCTTTTACAGTATTGATCAGAGCTTCCTTCTCCCTAACTCAGCACCCCTCTGCCCACTGAAACTCTGGTTAATTCTCCTCTCTTACTCTTTCTCCTTAAAATTTCCCATCTATGTAAAACACCAAGGCCGGTAATGCCAAAATATTTTTCAATGGACTTTTATTAAGAATCTATGGTGTTAGAGAATGTACTATGTATAAATGGAAAAGTACCCTTTATCTGTCCTCAGATATTTCACAGTAGAGTGGAGGAAGATAGAAAGGTACAAAAACGATGTGCTAAGGTTTACAGAGAAAATTTAATCATGGCAGAAGCTTCCTCAGTGAAGTGGCTACCTCAATTATCTTACTTTCCTTCTGGATCTTTAATCTTTCCCTGAACATATAAACATGCTGCAGTAGCTTTCATTTCTGCCTTGCTTTTTCTTCTCTTACAAGCTTGAAATGGACTTCTTTGGCTATACAGTCAACTTTCCCTATCTACACTTCCTCACTTACTGCTCTCCAGCTCCCTTCATTCTGGTTTCTGTTTCTACCAGTCAAATGATTCTCTTTACCAAGTTACCAATGACACACCCTTATTATATTTAATGTGTATTCACTCTTCTTATGTTATTGAACCTCTACTTAACTAGCAAGTTGGTCAAACTCTTCTTAAAAATTTTCCCCTTAATTTTTTTCTAGGGCATCTTATTCTTAAGATTTTCTTTATACCTTTCTAGCCCTTCCATTTATGTCTCCTTTTTCTTTTTCCACCCCTTCAATGTTGCTATTTTCTAGGGTTCCAATCTTAGCCTTGTGCTATTCCGACTCTACAGGCTATGTTCTAATGCTTTCTGAGTTTATGTCCTAAACCACGATCCTTCTAATTTTCTCAAACTCTTTAGTTTGAAACAGCCAAAACCAAATCTATGCATAGCAATTATAAACACCTCAGCCTTGACATATTCCAGTACGTATTAATCTTACTCGTTTACCTGTATTTTACATCTCGGTGATGCAACTTACTGACTCAAGCCAGAAAATAGGGTGTCACTCTGGGCTATCACCTATTTTCTCCTTTACAACAAATCTGTCAGTGAGTTCTGTCTATGTGACTCCTGGAAGATGCCCATTCTTCCCATCCTTAGTGCCCCAGCCTTTGATGCAAGTCGCTTCCCTACTGGGCTGTTGCAGCTGCCATTCTTTCTATTTCTGTTCTCTTGCCTTACCCAAATTCATGCATACTAATGTGTCCAGAGTGATCTTTCTGTATGTACTTTAAATCTGGTCATGTCTCACTTCTAATGGAAATATTTTTTCCATTTCTCTCTATCCATATGACTAGTTCTAAAATCTTTGGCATAGAAAACGTACTTAAGATCTGCCTTTTTCTTTAATCAACTCCATTTTTGGCTCTTTCTTTCAACTCCTCATCCTTTTGGCTCCAGTCAGATTAAATATTGCCTAGCATTTCCTTCCGAAGTTATTCTCAGACTCATCACCATGCTTTCACATAATCCATTTTTTATACCTGCAGTATAGTACACGGATTTAATGCATGTAAATCCTCCACAGCTATAGAAACAAGATTCAACTAAGTTCTTAGCAACTTTAGGAAAGCTTCTGTTTTCCTCTAGGTTTGAGTTAGGAAATTTTCCTTTGTGCTTTCCCATTATTCTGCTCGTAAGTCTAATAGGTATCTCATTCTACAAATATTTTCAGCCATTTCATGTCAAGCACTGTGCTAATTGATGCTATTTTCATGGCATGAAATGCCTAATTGGGCATGAGAAGGAGGAGTATGTAAGCAACTTATCATACAAATATATAACTACCAGCAGTGAGGATGGTTCAAAATACTATGATAACACAAAATAGGAGGACTTGATCTTGTGTGGCGGGTGTTAGAACAAACCTCTCAGAGAAGAGAGTATTTCAATTGAGATGTAAAGGATGAGTGGAAAGTACATGTTGTGTAGAAGCATAAGATGCACAGCCTTCTATGGGAAGTGGGAACAGAAAGCGCATGTAACGTTTGAAGATCTGCAAGAAGGACGGTGTGGCTAAAGCTCAGGGAGCAAGGGAGTGGGGTGTTAGATAGAACTGGAATATGAGGAAGGAGATAGATAATATATGGCATTGCCTGCCTCCCACCTTCCCTCCTACCCTCTCTCCCACCCTCCCTTCTCTCCCTCCCTCTCTCCTTCCTTTCGTCCTTCTTTCCCTCTCTCCCTCCCTCCCTCCCTTCCTTCCTCCCTCCCTTCCTCCCCTCCTTCCTTCCACAATGTAATCAGCACCTATCAAGCAATCTATCTATGCCCTGCGTATATAGTGATGATAAAAGAAAAACTACACGTGGTTTCTTCCCTCATGAACTTATGGTCTCATAAAGTTTAAGTAAAAAATTTTCTTTTTATTCTATTAGCAATGAGAAGCCATTGAAATATTTTAATGAGATGACTAATAAGATGTATATTTAGAAACAGCTCTTTGATTTCAATGTAGAGAATGGTTTATAAAGAAATCTAGACTGCATTAGAAGGCAAATTCTACTTTTTCACTTAAGGGGTACTAGTACTTGGATAGTGAGGGTGGATATAGAGAAGTGGATGGATCCCAAGGCTAATTAAAAGGGAAAATGACAGGTCTTAGTGGTTTCATCATGTATTTTGTGCCATTTGCAGTGGGTGGAATAAATGTTCAAGATGGTTTCTGGGCTCTGGCTTTTGAAACTGACAAATATTTACACCATTCACTGAGATGCTGGGAAAAGACCAGGTTTTAAAATTTTGGACTTTGTGAGTTTTGAATATCTTTAGGTAACCCAGGTTGATATAGTAGGCTTCTGGAGAGGTCTAAGTAAGAGATAGTTCAGTAATCATTTAGGAACAGAGATGGTAATTATCTAATGACATAGACAAGATAAAAGAAGTGGAAGGAAGGGGAAAACAATATCAGAGAGGAAAGAAGAAAAGCAAAGAAAATGTAGTACTGAACCTTTAAATTGATGTCAAGGTAGTGGATGATGGATATGCTCGGGAACATAAGAGGGAGAGACCAGGAGGTATAAGGTAAACTAGAAGGTTGGGATGTAGTAATTAGGCCAAAGAGGGTGTTTCAAGGAAGAGGATTTGATCAGATGTTTCAACAAGATTTAACAATAGGGAAGCTGAAGGTGGTTTCTGAGAGCTGCTTTATGGATCGAATGGAGGTGGAAGCCAAATTGAACTGAGTTTGGGATGGATGTGAGGCGAGGAAATGGAGACAGTGAGCGTCAGTGCTTGTGAGAAGTGTGTGCATGAAAAGAAGGGGAGAGTTAGAGAAAGAGCCAAAGTTCAAAACTGGGAGGGATGGGATCCAATGTAGAGATAAAAGTTGGACATTTTTAAAGATGGACAGATTCTCTATTTTAATAAAAGGAAACAAGAAAAGGATAAGAGTATATACACATAGGTGTATAAGGCTTACAAAATTTTATATAAATTTATAGAATCAAAGTGCAATTTTGTTCCATGCATAGATTGTATAGTAGTTAAGTCAGGGCTTTTAGGGTATCTATCACCTCAATGATGTACATTATTCTCATTAAGTAATTTCTCATTATCCACCCCCTCCCATGCCCTCACCCTTCCAAGTCTCCATTGTTGATCATTTCACTCTCTACATCCATGTGTACACATTTTGAACATCTACTTATGAGTGACAATATGCAACGTTTGTCTTTTTGTGTCTGGCTTGTTTCATTTAAGGTAATGGCCTCCACTTCTATCTATGTTGCTGCAAAAGACATGCTTTTATTCTTCTAAATAGCTGAGTAGTATTCCATTGTGTGTATACCATATTTTCTTTATCCAGTCATCTGTTGTTGAACTCTTGGGTTGATTCTATATCTTTGCTATTGTGAATACTGCTGTGATAAATATACCAGTACAATTATCTTTTTGATATATCAATTTCCTTTCCTTTAGGTAGATACCTGGTGGTAGGACTTCTGGATCTAATGGTAGTTCTATTTTTAGCTCTTTCAGGAATTTCCATACTGTTTTCCATAGAGGTTGTACTAATTTACATTCCTACCAACTGCATATAAAAGTTCCCTTATACATGTTGACATCCTTGCGAACATCTGTTATTTTTTGTCTGTTTGATTATAGCCATTCTGACTATGGTAATATGTAACTATGATTTTCGATTTGTAGATTTTATTTTGAAAGTTGAGGAAAATTTTACTGATCACCTTCTACTTTCTCCATGAGGTAGTAGTTGATGTCACCTTATGAAAGAAGTAGAGTTTGAAGTTTGAAAAAAATGAATACATTTTGAAAAGGATTTTTTTCCAGAGGAGAAAGTTGATTAGAAGAGACTTGCAAGATGCAATATTGAAGGCACATTTAAGGTTAATGATCACAAATTTATCCAGCCTTTTCTTTCTTTCTTTTTTTTTTTTTAATTTTATACCAGTAGCACTAGGATATGGGATGCTCAGGCTCAGGTTGTGGGAAATGAATAGTTATATTCATATAGATTGAAGTTTCAGCAAAGGGATGATTTAATCAAATTTACATTATATTTTCTTCTAATATACCATGAGTTTGGGTAAGAGATGTAACAAAAATATCCACTACAAATTATATTGGTGTATAGTAGAAAGCAAAGACCTAATTAAAGTTATTTTTGTCCCAAATGATTTATGAAAGAAGCTTCTCTTCTACCATTGCTTTCCTTACACTGGTAACATACTGGCTCAATTTGTTGCATGTTTATAATATGTTTTAATGTATAGTGAGGTTACTGCCTATCACTACCTTTTTTTCAAAACTTCTTAGGTTTTCCATTCATTCATTTTTCTTTACGGAACACACATTATTTGTCAAGTCTCACTATTCTACTTATAGAATATTGGCTGAAATTTGCCATACTTAGTAAAAGTGAACTACCTATCATTCAATTCCTAAAGAGTAGGCGAAAGGGATACTTTTTAAAGCATTTTTTAAAAAACCTCTTGTATCTGCCTATACAAATCGTCATGAGAAGCCTACTCAGCTCAAGATTCAGCTCATGGCATCACCCAGCAATGACTCCACTGCCCCAGTCTCTGAATTCCTCCTCATCTGCTTCCCCAACTTCCAGAATTGGCAGCACTGGCTGTCCCTGCCCCTCAGCCTCCTCTTCCTTCTGGCCATGGGAGCCAACGCCATCCTCCTGATCACCATCCGGCTGGAGGCCTCTCTCCACCAGCCCCTGTACTACCTGCTCAGCCTCCTCTCCCTGCTGGACATCGTGCTCTGCCTCACCGTCATCCCCAAGGTCCTGGCCATCTTCTGGTTTGGCCTCAGTTCGATCAGCTTCCCTGCCTGCTTCCTCCAGATGTTCATCATGAACAGCTTCCTCCCCATGGAGTCCTGCACGTTCATGGTCATGGCCTATGACCGTTATGTGGCCATCTGCCACCCACTGCGGTACCCATCCATCATCACTAGTCAATTTGTGGCCAAAGCTAGTGTCTTCATTGTGGTGCGGAATGCCCTTTTTACTGCACCCATTCCTATCCTTACTTCCCTGCTCCATTATTGTGGGAAAAATGTCATTGAGAACTGCATCTGTGCCAACCTGTCTGTGTCCAGGCTCTCCTGTGATAATTTCACCCTTAACAGAATCTACCAATTTGTGGCTGGTTGGACCTTGCTGGGCTCGGATTTCATCCTCATCTTTCTCTCCTACACCTTCATTCTAAGAGCTGTGCTTAGATTCAAGGTGAAGGGGGCGGCAGTGAAGGCCCTGAGCACATGTGGCTCCCACTTTATCCTCATTCTTTTCTTCAGCACCATCCTGCTGGTTGTTGTGTTGACAAATGTGGCCAGAAAGAAGGTCCCCATGGACATCCTGATCCTGCTCAATGTCCTTCATCACCTTATTCCTCCTGCATTGAACCCTATTGTGTATGGGGTTCGGACCAAAGAGATAAAACAGGGAATTCAGAAATTACTGCAGAGAGGGAGGTGAATATGTAAAACATTTCTAATACCTGCCGTCCTTCCTCTTCAGTGATTTTACCTAGACAGTGAAGTAGAGAAATGTCAGTTAGTGAGGTATTTATTGCATGCACTGAGGCTCCCTTCATTACTGAACCAGTAAGGGAAAGTGAATCCCTTGCTTCACTTTCCTTGCGTGGTTCAGGTGGAAGTAGGCAAGGGGAAGAAACTCGTATTTATTGAGTGACTGCTTTGAACCTTGCAATTACATTTAAGTAATTTAAGCTTCAACACATCTCTGCAGGCACTGTTACTTTCATTGCACATAATAGAAGAAGAGACGCTTTTAGGAAGGAAAATGGTCAAAGATCACATATGTGGGAAGCAAAAATAATAAAACCTCGGCTCTTTCTACATAGTTGAAATGCCTCATCAATTGCAATTGAAGCTGAAGAGCAGTATTTGCTCTCCTTTGACCTGTGTTTTGCCTTTCTGGATGTCCACAGGTATTTTCTGCCTATTCTTAATTCTTTGAGACCCAAGGGACTTCTCAGAGAAAGCAGAGTCTTGCCTGACCAAACTTCTGCTGGGAAACAAGAAAAGAGCTTTATAACAATATAAAGCAGTGCCAGCTTTCTATTCTATCCTACACAGCCTCATCACCTCAGACAGAGTCTTGAAAGTGAGGATGGTTGCAGACAGGAAGAGGGGACTCAGAGGGTAAGAAACAGAAAACCTGACTAGAACATTGTGTTGACCACTTTCCCTATATGTGTAAGCTACACATTCAGTGAACTGAATATCAAATCTTATTTGATCTGTTAACTGCCCAACTGCTCTAGTTGAATGTGGGAAGATAGGACATAGTGTCAGGTTTCTGGGTAACAATGGTTCCAGTTAGGTAAAAAAACAAAACAAAACAAAAACATACACTGGTTATTTACAGATAATTTAATGTAAACAATTGGTTTTGATGAAAAAAGGAGGCTCAAGTAGCAGGGAAATTGCATCGAGGGGAAGAAACTTCCACTTAGAAAGGGGCTGGGTCATTAGAACCTAAGAAGCTAGGAAGTAGCCCATAGAACTGGATCTCAGATCTCTGAAGAAGGATGCTGTCCCTAATTGGTACTCATGCCATAGGACCTCAGAGGATGTGGCCCTTAGAGCTGGGACTAAAACCTTTGAGGATGGGACACTTCCTTGATGGTGCTGGTATTTTTGAGAGAGTTCAATGAGGGTGATTTTGAGAGTTAAACAAAAACCAAAACCCATCAGCCAACTAGCCAATCTGGAGACTAGAATCAATTCCACTTCCAGGGTGAAGAGTTGCTGCTAAGGAATACTGATTGACAAGACAGGAACAGACAGAGAGAGCAAGTGTCCATCTCCCTGTTTCAACCTTCTAATGTTTCCGCTGCTCTCTGTAGGTAGAAACTCAGAGAGTGACAGCTGACAAAGAAGGGGTTCGACTTCCAGCACCAGCATCACAGAGCACAGCACGGACGGCAGGCTTGGGACTGAGAGATATCTGTTAGTAACTGACGCAGCTCCAACCTTCTGTGGGTCTGAAAGCTTGTGATTACTGAGGAGCAGCTATAACATCACCCTGCAGTGCACTGTTGCCACCAGGAACTAGAGTCAGAATCAAGTCCCCTAGTGCAGGTGGGTGGAGAAACATGACATCGTGTTTAGGGACAGCATTCAGAGCCGCAAAGGAATTGTCATGAAGCTGGCAAGAGGAGTAAGATCAACTGCCCCGCATTGTGGGGATTAGATAAAGTAACTGCAACCCAATGCTGGTGTGAGCACTAGGGGCAGTTTCTTCCAGTCACTCAACAAGAGAAGGGAAAAAAAATGATACCCACTGGCTTACAGGAAGGGGCACTTAGTACCCTCAGGCTCGGCTCTCATTGTCTCAAGCCGGAGCCACAGGTGCAATTCAGTATTTGTAATTTTTTTAAGAAGAGAATTCTCTAATAGAACTTCTCTCCATCTCAGGGATGCTAGGAGTTTTACTTACCACTGCTTTCCTATTGTTCCTCAGAGGTTATAAATGCCCACTTCAGCACTGATCTTCTAATATAAGACTTATAATGAAAATCAAAGTTCATGTGTCTTGAGCACTTGCAATATACCAATGTCTATACGTGATAATATACAGTTTTCATGAGAGACTTCCATACATTATTATAAAAGTGATTCTTTAACAAGGAATCTAATAGGACATAATTCATAGAAACATAATAAATCTGTAATCAGGTGATATTTTCAAGCATTTGGTCAACTTCATTGGTCTTTCCATGAGTGCTTTCTCTGCTTCTGGCATGATTTCACTTGGTGGCAAGCCCAGGATTAACTCAAAGAGGAGTCTATGTTATTTGGCCAAAACTCAGATCTTAATTCCTGAACCAGGCTCCTGTAGATCAATGCAAGTGGCCAACACATTTATGAGATGCTTGACTCAAACGGGGTGTACATAGGGACAGAAACTGCCAGCTTTGTTGTAGGGATTTGTAAAGGATGCAGTGACCAAGACAGCAGTGAGACAGCAGTGGTCACCCTTCACATAACTAGCACAGCTCACACACATTGAGGGGCTCAGTAAACATTTCCTTACTTATTTTATTGAACTGGCTAAGTGAAGAGTTGAAAAATCATGTCTACCTTTAATCTCTAGTTCCCCAGAAGTAGAGTCCTAAATATAAGAAATGATAAGCCACATACTTAAAGTTGGCTCTCTGTTTTGGTTCTAAAAGGTTTAGAGGACCACAGATTTCTCACAAAATTGTCAATATGCAAGTGGTGAAGTAACTGGTCTCAAGGGTCCTAGATAGGCTTTGGGGTAAATCTTCATACAGATGATAAAGGAGCAAGATAACCAAAGAATCAGGCCTTGAAGAGCAGACCCAACTCTGCTGTGAAGTCCCCATAGCAAAGTGTAAAAACTGTCTTCTCTGTTGAAGTTTTCAAGCACTGTCTTGAGTAAATATGATGAAGTAGTATATAAATTAAAGGCATTTTTAAATGGATGGGGTACTGGTGTCTTGTCAGTTTTTTAAAACTGAGAAAATCTGTGAAGGTTTGCTTTGCTGATACCACCTGAATATGTTCCGACTGCATTGGAAGAGGGTGCATTCAGAACAGGAGAAGAGTGGGCGTGGCTTTCCAAAGGTCACTCCCCTCACTCTCTGGTTTGCAGGTTGCTCACATTCTTGAGAAGGAAGATCTGATATCAATGAGCATCGCTAGTCAGTCAGTACCTTAGCTGACTGAAATCAAGACCTAGTGGTGAGGAAAAACAAGTCCTCTGGAATTAAGTTGTAGGAAGAAGAGACTTTGGATACATTGGTAGCCAAAGCTCAAAACAAATATCTAAGTATTGTTGAGGGAACAATACTACATTTTCCATTTATCACTGAAAGCTTTTTAGTACCTCGCCATCCTGATACTTTATCATGCTTTGGTGTATTCTAGGCAGTGAGAGTTCTGAGACGTCAGAGACTAAGTTTAGGGCATCAAGACTGCAGTTGCAGAACCTGAACAGCAACCTCTGAAGTTAAGCAAATGCTTCATCGTTGGCAAGTCAACAGTGCCTCCTTGTGGCTATTTGTAGGAAAAACAATACTGGAGTGAATGCCAGTTCTCAATCTCAGGGGTTTGAAAGAGGAATGACAAGTCTGTTTAGAAAACTCCTGTACTTCCTGCTCATGGGGCACATAGGGCTTTGAGTGATTAAGTTAAAAAATAAAAGAGACATACCAATTTATATCATGATTTTCTTTTCTTCAGCAACATTTAAAAGTCAATACCAAATAACTGACATGAGTCAGGTGTTCCTAAGGATAGTGAATACCCCTGGTGTTTCATAACATATTACATTATTAGCTTTTGGCTGAGTACTGCATATAATAACAACATTTATTCACCCATTCAACCAAAAATTAGTTATTGAGTTCTTTATGTGTGATTAAGACTCTGAACATACAGGAAAACTACTTTTTAGAGAGATTACAGTCAAAATAGCCCGTGAATTATAATTACCATTTTTGCGCATGAGGCAACTGAGCAAAATGATAAATTATACATAGTCATTCAGTGAATGGGGACCGGAGTCAAAATTAAATTTAGGCATTTTGCTGCATAAATCCATTCTTCCTACTCCTAGGGATTGAGATATATTTTAAGTCTTTCACTGGATAGATTTGTAGTTTCCTAAGTTTTTCATGCTCCAAATTATAGATATCAAAGGCAGAGTACACCAAAAATCCATCATACATTGAATTAGTTAATGCAAGTAAAGTTAGTTACTATGACAATTATAGCACAGTGGCCTAACACAATAAAAGTTTACTTCTCATCCACATCTCATTCTGATGTACGGGGGTTTTGCTCCATGTCAACATTTAGGGACCAATGCTTCCTTTATTACATGGATCCTCCATGTTCTGGGCTCTTAGAGTCCTCCACTGGTGCTTCTGAATCTGGCCGGCAAGCAAGCACAGAGATAGAATATGCAGGATCTTGTAAGCTTTAGGGCCCCAAACTAGGAGATAGATCATTTTCTCTATGATTTCATTGGCAAGACTCCTCACATAGATCCAGCTGCTTGCAAAAGATCCTTGATCATAATTTTCATATCTCTTTCTCCTGTGCATACAATATGCTCACTTCCTTACAAAGGGAGACCACCCAAGCTCTCATCTGGTCACTCTATGCAGCAAAAAATCCAAGACCTCCAGATGTGTGTGGCCTTCTCCATCAGATCCCATTGCGATTTCTCTTTCACCAGTGGTATTCCATCTCTCTATTAATGGTGGAGAAGATGATTTCCAACTGGAAGTGAAGTGTGGAATTCAGTTAGCAGTAATTTAATAGTCATGTGAGAATACTTTGGGAGCAGACATTGCAATATTTTTACTTACTGAGAGTGAGACAAGTTCCTTGACTAGACATTGTTTATGTTCTGTAGGAGGAACTCTCCTGATCATTATTTTCAATGTCCTGACTATTGCTTTTTATTGTTTTTTAATGCCATCTGCCCTTGGGGGTGTGTGCCTTGATTAATGTTCCCATTATCCTAAATGAAGTAGGCGTTGAACAAT